ACATACGTGTCGATGTTTGTGTCTGATCGGGTGCATCATTAGAGTCTCATTTCAGACATCTTTATACCTGATTATGAACGCGCAACCGTCTGGAACTGAATGAGAATGAGACGTTTTAATTGTGTTGCTGAATGTTTCTTTACGTCTGATGTAGTGTTCTGACTTCGCTTCACACCAAAACTTCGGCCTTTACTGAATGAGTGTGTGTTTATCTCCATGAAATGCCTCTTTTTTTTTTAGAAGAACTGTTCATTTAATTTGATCTGAACGGTTGCTTGTGGTTTCAACGGTATTAACTTTTGTACGGTGGCTGTTCGGGGCCTAAAGCTCCTCGTAATTATTCTAATTATGGATTTATTTCATGTTTTGTTTTGTATTGCAACAATACATCATTAGTAGCTGAACGCGACTCTGTGTTTTATTGCATGTGAACAGTGGCTGAAATTAAACCGAATGCTGATAGTGTCACAAATTTAAGCGTGAATCCACTTTTTCGGTTTCATTTTTGTATGCAAGGTTGACCGAAATAAACGAGACACTTGGTATATTTAACCTTACGGCAAATTTCCGCGGGCAAGAAATGCGCTCATGAATGCGATCGAGAATTTCGCGCGAGGGACACGTGACACGTCAAATTCTGGCTTTTTTAAACTTTTAATAATTGTATTAATTATTAAAAGTAAAAAAAAATTTTTTTACATTTTTTTTTAATTTTGCAATATCCATACTTTCCCCGCGAAATTTCACCGATTGTTGCTAATGTGACCGCGCGTCAAAATCACTGTAGCCACTGTTTATGGGATGGGATGGTATAATTGCAGCATTGTCGTCATGAGAAGTTGACTTACAGCTTTCCAAATTGGGGGTATCAATTAAAGAAACATTACAGAAAATGTGTTTGGTTTTTAATTTGAAGTTTGTACACATTTTGTGCAGTAAAACTTAATAAAAAACAATATTAGTTATGTGGTTTCAGCAGCTGTCTATGGTGGATAACCAAGATAAGTCATCGGTCATGTACTGTACTGTACTCTTCATAAATTTGGGGTCAGTAAGAATTGTTTTTGTTCATCAGGGGCGTATAACATTGATGAAATTGACAGTAAAGACAGTTATAATGTTGCAAAAGATTTCTATTGCTTTCTATTAATCTGTGAATCCTGAAAATGCTAAATCCTAAAATGCTTCATGGTTTTCAAAATTGATGATAATCAGAAATGTTTCTTGAGCAACATATTATACTGATTTCTGAAGATCATGTGACACTGAAGACTGGAGGAATGATGCTGAAAATACAGATTTGATCACAGAAATAAATTACAGTTTAACAGAGATTCACATAGAAAACAGCTGTTTTACATTAGAATAATATTTCACATTTTTTACTGTATTTTTGATCAAATAAATGCAGCTTCGGTGAGACTTCAAAAACATTAAAAGTCTTACCGACCACAAACTTTGGCCACTTTTATAATGAATAAACATTTTACTAGTTATTCCAAGCTCTACAATATTTTACCATGTTGAAATTGTGAGTAAAAAAATATTTTTATGAATCCTTATCCAGTAAATTATGAATTCCTGGTCATGTAAATGTGGAAAAATGGAAACGTCTAGAATCCTGTAACTGAATGTACAGAAAGAGTCAAAAAACTGCTGTGCTCGAAGGAAAGCCTGACTGTTGATAAAAAGAAAAGACAGAACAATGCTTAATAACTGATCAGTTTAATGTGGGTTAAAACTGTAAACAAGTTCAACTGGCCACATACACACACACACACACACACACACGTGTCAGTACAGTACAGGAGATCCCCTCACTAACCTCGTTTAACTGTATTACATCTAATTAAGGCACATGCAGAAACGCTCATCAGGCACATGACAGGACGGCCCGTGTGTTCAGGGGTCCAGCAGCACTTGGATGTAGTTTTTGGGAATGATGCCACGTTTCCCTCCGGATTCTCCGAGGAACCACTCGGCATCCATGTCCTCCAAACCACACACCACATCTCCTGCCTGCACACACACACACGCATTTAGACCAATGAATCTCAATGACATAAAACCCATATTTAACCAAATATTTAAAAACATTTTATTTAAATTAGTATTATTAAATATGACTTATTTGTTATATGATAAAATATGAATTAATCATTATATTTGAATATATATCAATTATATATTTAATATAATATTTATATTATTTAATAATTATATTATAATTCTTATATAATACACACACATATATATATAATTACAACAGATAAATATAATTACAATATATTTACAATATTGAATTGTTTTAGAATTCCATAATATTTTATATATATTAATATAGTTTTAAATATTAACAAAAATAATTTTAATATTTTATTGTGTGTGTGTATATATATACATATTAACTATATACTTTATACACATATAAATAAATTAGGCAAATAATTAGTAGGTGTAAACATAATTACAAGCAAAATATTGAGAGAAAGATGAGAGATAATAATTTAAGGCAGGCATGGCAGGGAGTGTATACAACGATACACTCTTAAAAATAAAGCTGCTTCAAAAGGTTCTTCAAGCGATGCCATAGAAGAACCATTTTTGGTTCCACAAAGAAGCATTCAGTCAAAGGTTCTTTAAAGAACCATCTCTTTCTTACCTTTTTATAATCTGAAGAACCTTCTTTCGCCACAAAGAACTTTTTGTGAAACAGAAGGGTTCTTCAGATGTTGAAGGTTCTTTAAGGAACCATTTAGACAAAAAAGTTCTTCTATGGCATCGTGAAGCACCTTTATTTTTAAGAGTGTAGGACAGGAGAAGAGTAAATCATTTATGGGTAATCATGAGGATGATTTGGCCTTAGCAAATGAATTAAATACATTTTTTGGTACATCAGATTTTAAAACTGAACGGAATTTGATTAGACAGCAAATGAATGCAGGGCAGGAAATCATTATAACATCGGAGGAAGTTTGTAGGATCTTTAAAAGTGTTAATAGAAGGAAGGCAGCGGGTCCTGAGAGAATAACTGGTAGGGTACTTAAGGAGTGTAGTGTCATTTACAGTCATCTGTTTCAAGTGTCTGTGGATACTTGCTATGTACCTACTGCCTGGAAATGTTCATTTATAGTGCCTGTGCCAAAAATATCAAAACCAGCAGTTTTAAATGATTATCGTCCGGTAGCCTTGACATCTATTGTCATGAAGAGTTTTGAAAAAATAGTGTTAGATCATGTTCTTTCTGAGGTGCGAAACAAACTTGATCCTTTACAATTTGCATATAGGAGAGGGAGGAGTGCAGAAGATGCCCTCTTGTATATGCTACAAAGACTCTACTGTCATCTTGATCAGCCAAAGCGATATGCCCGTGTTATGTTTATAGATTTCTCATCTGCATTTAATACTATACGACCACATGTTCTAATGGAAAGATTGTTTAAGCTGGGTGTGAATAGCAGACTCGTTAGATGGGTCGAGTCTTTTTTGACTGATAGATTACAGTGTGTTAGGGTGAACTCTGCTTTCTCTTCCTCTATTTTTACAACACAGGGAACCCACAGGGAAGTATTATCTCCCCAGTGTTATTTACCCTTTATACAAATGAATGTAGAGGTTTTTCATCTGATGTTTTTCATGTCAAATATGCAGACGATACGGCAATTGTTGGTTTGATCACTGAAGATGAAGTGGAGCATCGTAGAGGTTTGGATGAGTTTGTTGATGGGTGACAATCTAGTTTCCTTCAGTTAAACATCAGGAAAACTAAAGAAATGATTTTCGACAAAAAGAGGCATTCATCAACAAATAATTGTTAATGGTGAGGGCATTGAAGTTGTAAATGAATATAAATATCTAGGGACAATCATTGATAAAAAACTGACATGGGATGTAAATACAGCAGCTGTTTACAAGAAAGGGCTGCAGCGATTGTATTTCATGCGTAAGCTTCGACAGTCTGGTGTGGATACTTATATGTTGGCTCTATTCTATCATTCATTTGTGGAGAGTATCTTGACTTTCAGCTTTGCTGCTTGGTATTTCTCACTGTCTGGAGTAAATAAGAACAAACTTGTTAACATGGCTAGTAAGATTGCAGGTAAACGACACCTTAGTCTGATAAAACTATGTGAATCTCGAGCTGTGAGGAAAAGCCATACAGTTCTTCACGATGCATCTCATCCTCTTTGTGGTGAATATGAGTTATCACCATCTGGTCGAAGGTACAGGGTACCATTATTACGGACTGCCCGTGCACAAAGATCTTTTATATCATCCAGTATAGCTCTGTTAAATGAATCTCTGTGATATCACAGTTGTCATTGTACATCTATGGCAGTGATTCTGTTGTTGTATTTATATGTGATGTGTTGTAACCTGTTGATGTTTGTATTGTTAATTATTGTTGTTGATCTCTGAAGAGTTGCCACAGATACAAAGCGAATTTCCGAAAGGACAATAAACTAAACTAACTAACTAACTATAATTACAATATTTAATTGTTTTTATTATTTAATTGTTTTTACATAATTATATAATTTTTTTAAATATATTTTCATTAACGCTGATATATATTTCCCTAAAAATATAAAATACATATATATTTATGAGGCGTTTAATTGCAAAAACAGATGACGTTTTTATTAATTTTCTTAAATCCGTGTTTTTATAGTGTTAGTTAGCTGTATTTATTTATTTTTTGTTATTATTATTTAATCAAAACAACCCAACTGCAGTTTGATTGATATTAATTGGAATGAAGGACAAAAAATATATATTTAATAAAATTATTATGTTTATTATATTTTTATGATTTTTTTCCCCATGAATTTCCCAGGCCTGGAAATCAGGATTTATTAAACTCCTACAGATTTCCAGGTTTTCATGACTGTGCCACAGTGAATCTCCCACAGACCTTCAGACTGAGCTCGTCCTCACACTCGGGAGAGAAATCATAAAGTGCTCGTCCTCTGTATAGTATTATATATTATTTCTCATCCTGTTTCACCCGTTCTGTGTGTTTTGTTGGATCTGCTGCTCCAAGGGCTCTTTGTCCAGCAGAAGCTCACTGACAGTCACATCTTGACCTTTGACCTCTCCTGACGAGCAGAGGTCGTGGAGTGTGTTTGATGGTGTTTGTGGGACGTCTGTATCATCCAGGACAATCAGGTGCTCTTCTTCCTGAAGCAGGAAATAATATTTCATGACAGTTTACAGTGGTTGCATAATTTGCAAGTGTGTGTGTGAGAGTGAGTGTGTTTGTGTGTGTGTGCGTGTGTGTGTGAGAGAGAGAGAGCGAGAGAGAGTGTGTGTGTGTGTGTGTTAGAGAGAGAGAGTGTGTGTGTGTGTGTGAGAGAGAGTGTGTGAGTGAGTGTGTGTGTGTGTGTGTGTGTGTGAGTGAGTGTATGTGAGAGTGTGTGTGTGTGTGCGTGTGTGAGAGTGTGTGTGTGTGCGTGTGAGAGTGTGTGTGAGTGTGTGTGTGAGAAAGTGTGTGAGAGAGTGTGTGAGAGAGTGTGTGTGCGCGTGTGAGTAAGTGTGTGTGTGTGTGTGTGTGTGTGCGTGTGTGTTTGTGTGTGAGTGTTTGTGAGTGTTTGTGAGTGTGAGAGAGTGTGTGTGTTTGTGTGAGTGAGTGTTTGTGTAAGTGTGTGTGTGTGTGAGTGTGTGTGTTTGTGTGAGTGAGTGTTTGTGTGTGTGTTTGTGTGAGTGTGTTTGTTTGTGTGTGTGTGAGTGTGTGTGTGTTTGTGTGTGAGTGTGAGTGTTTGTGAGTGTGAGATGTGTGTGTGAGTGTGTGTGTGTGTGAGAGAGTGTGAGAGTATGTGTGTGTGTGAGGGTGTGTGTGTGTGTGTGTGTGTGAGTGTGTGTGTGTGTGTGTGTGTGTGTGTGTGAGAGAGTGTGTGTGTGTACACTGACATGCAAAGACGTTTCCTCAGGTGGTTCCTCTTGCTCTTTGCTGGTATTCTCCAGCTCTGCATCTCCTGGAAGAACTTTTCTCTAATGCACAAACACACAAAGCAGCTGGTGTTTACATGGCTGTTTTATTTATAGACCTCCTGGGATTTTTTCTCATATTCAGCTGAAATACATTTAAAGGGGCAGTTCACTCATAAATAAACATCCGGTCATCACTTCCTCACCCTCTCTCTTCTGTGCAGCTCAAAGATGTTCGGTATAATGTGCGAGCTGCTGTTTTCAAAAGTGCATGGTGATTTATACAATCACACAGATGGATCGTTACATGTGACCTGTGCACTAAATTCATGCAAGAGCATATGATGCTTTTCTATTTTTTTCTTAATTATTTCTATTTAGTTCATTTATTATTTAATATCTTTTTTCAGTTTTTGTAATCTATCAAGGCAACATTTATCATTTTCATGAACATTTTTAAGCGCAAGTTTTTAATCCAGTATTTATATTTTATTTTGAGGGTTTATTTCAAAAACAAATTTTAATAGTTTCATTTGTAGTTTTAGTTAACAAGACCACACTGCTTCAGGAGACTTGGAATAAAGCGCACAATCACAATTCACTTTCAATTTATGAAAAACAGCAGCTCGTACATTCTGCCAGTGATCTCATTTTTGTTTTCCACGAAAAAAAAAAGAAAGTCATACAGGTTTATAATGACAGGATGGTCAGAAAATTATGAAATAACACACAGGACATTTTCCTGGTGTTCTTCTCAAATACGCTATGCATGAAGACTCACAGAATAGCGCTTGTAAAGCGGATGTCCTGGTTTGGGGCGGGGAGGGAGGGGCGGGCCTCTCTTTGGCACCCTGCTGCCTGGCAGCTGATTGGTCACAGCAGGGGAGGAGGAGGAGCCTGGAAGTTTGGCCACTTTGATTGGAGGAGGGCGGAGTGGGAGGAGTTTGCCGCCACTGGGTCTGAGACACAAAGAGAGAGAATGAGAGATGGGAAAAAAACTAAAGACACCTGATTTTGGAGGAAAAAACGCTGCAGTACCTCGGAGGAAGAGAAGGAATGGAAGCGTCAGGAGCTCTGAAAACATCCACCGTGGCCTGAACACACACACACCATCATCAACATTAAACGCTAATTCTAATAGGCAAACTTCATGATAAAGGTGATTAATAAGCAGGTATAACTCACCTGTGAGGTGGGCGGTGTCTTTCTGAGCACAGGTGGAGGTGGACGGGAGTGTTTGGGGACCGACGGACCTACATAAAAACACAGGTGTTCATTTACACACAAAACGCTCCAGTGTTTTCAGCATCTCAGTTCACAGTAAATGCTGCTTCAAATGTCTCATCTCATCTCTGCATTTGCTCTGAGCTTGAGTCACTTACAGTATAACGTGCATTTGGAAATGCAGCATGCGCCAAATACTTTCACAAACTCGTAATGAGAAATGTGTATATAAACCGGCTGTTATGCACAAAAGAGAAGCTTTAAAGGATCCCTGCGGCTTTAAACCAAAATAAAAGCTTCATAATTAAATGCTTGAAAATAAAGAAATTAACACTATTTTAATAATTTAGTTAATAATTTTATATTTGTACTGTAAAATGTACTTATTCTTCTTATATTTAATTTAACAGTGAAATATTAGAGGAGCCCAGCGTTCGTCCCAGACCTTTGCTCCAGAGTCACCCTACGACCCTTTAGAATTTTGTCTAATATTTAAATTTAGTAACAATAAAAATAATTCTAATTCTAATTATTATTATTACATTATAGTAACACTGATATACAATGACATATTTTTGGCCAAATTATGCATCCCTAAAAAACAAGCAAGGCAAAACGTGAGCTTTTTTGCATTTAATAACATTTTAAATATAATATATTGCAATTGCAATAGAGCTTAACAATAGAGTTAGAGCTCTTTTTTTACCACATTTTCAATTGCATTTATCGCGATTACAATTTTTATAAAAATTGTCCAAATTGTGCAAACAAGCTAATCAAACTTAAAACTTTTTTAAAATTGCATTTATGACAATCACAATTTTTATCCGAAAAATCACAATTAGTTTTTTTCCTGCAATTTGCGCAAAAAAGCAAAGTAAACCTTGAGCTTATTTTTATCCCCAAAAATTGCAATTAGATATTTTCCCCCAAACTGTGCATCCCTACTAGCAAGTAAACTAGAAATCCACCAATATACTTGTCATCACTCACGTTTTCCAACGTTCCTGTCAGTCACTATCACTGGCGGCGTCTTCACTGGAGTGTTTGTAGTTTGATCATCGGAATTTCTCCTCTCGGACGGAGTGGAGGCCACCGCTGCCATCTGCTGCCTGGGAGGAGTGCTGTCAGGACAGGCGGCTGGTGAAGGTTTGGCAGATGAAGATCTGGACTCTGATGGACTCTGGAGTTTGTTCAGAAGGGGTCTGGGTGCTGGAACTGGTGGACTCAGGGGTTTGGAGGGGTTTTGCTCAACGGTAGGTTCTCTGGTATCAAAAACCTCAAAGACAGATGGTTTTGGGGCGAGCTGGGGTTTGGATTTCTGAGTTCTAGGTCGCGGTTGTGGTTGTGGTCTATTGAACGGTTCTACTGGTTCAGGTGTTATAACGGTGCATGGAGCATCGAAAACGGCCATATTATCCTCTTCTTCTACAGTGCTTGCATCGCTTTGTTGACTGTCTCCATGCTGAACATGCGTTTCGTCCGAACCAAACACCTCCAGCAGGTCTTGCAGGTATTTGCTGGAGATGTTCGACGGAGCGTCGTCAAACCCGGCGAACAGATTCTCGGCCCCATCGTCCTTCAGACGCACCAGAGTCTGAACTTTCACCTCCCTCGTCATCGGCTGGTCCAGAACATCCTCGTTGGGTCGTAGGGCGACTCTGGAGCGCGGCCGAGGTCTGGGACGAACACTCGGCTCCTCTTTCATCGGGTCCCCTGTGGAATCGAAGTTGATCTGGGTGGAAGTGCTGGCAGTGGGGGCGGGGCCTATGGGAGAGATGTCATCGATGATGTCATCGAAGTCCGTCTGGACACCACACTGTTCGCGCAGAGCCTCTCGAGGCTGAGCACCGGCATTTGTATTAGACCAGTCCAATTCAGGCATGTGTTTGAGGGGCAGTGAGAGCCGCGGGGGTTTGGACTGCCTACGAACTACAGGAAAAAATTAAAGGAAACATATTATGCCCATTTTTACAATATGTAATATAAGTCTCTGGTGTCCCCAGAATGTGTCTGTGAAGTTTCAGCTCAAAATACTCCACAGATCATTTATTATTTCATTTTGAAAATGCCTATTTTGAGTGGAAGCAGAAACACGCTGTTTTTCGTGCCCGTCTCTTTAAATGCAAATGAGCTGCTGCTCCCCGCCCCTTTTTCCAGAATAGAGCTGCGCCATTACAGCTCGTACCTGCTAAAAAACATCTGTTTTGGTTCTGATTATCATGTTTATTGCGCTGAAATCATGCGTTTTAAGCCACACGAGTTTAAACTTCTGATATACGGTTTACTGAGAGCACACATGCGAAGCACACGCACAGAAAGCGGCTGTCGCAGCATGTGAGTACTAAACTAAGTTCTCATTCACACACAAGTTTACATTAAAAACACACGAGTTACAAAAACAGTCGACTATGTCTGTGAAGCTATGTTTAGATCTGTGTGGCAGCAGCAATATACAGTAAATAAATCAATAAATCCACTGCTCTCGTGTCTCCTCTGAGTCTGGGACTCTAAACAGTGTTCTGTGCTCGTCTGTGCAGCCAAAGACAGAACAGTTAGCATGTTTTCTTTCACCATGGCATTAGAGCTGGTACAACGTTGTGGCTTGCGAACTCAAATGACGGCGCCGAAGGTGGAAACTTACAGATTAAGGGGCGGTAATATTATAATGAGATCCCTTTGCCACGTCACCAAGGGAGCGAAATCAGACGCGCTAGTTTTCTCAGACGCTTGCAGAAAAAGGCTTACCAAAACTAAGTGACTGCGTTAATCTTTTTCACGTTTCCTTGGTTGGTAGATGCACCGGGGACCTGATTATAGCACTTAAAACCTGGAAAATCTGATTTTCATGATATATCACCTTTAAGGCAAGACATTTACAGGTGAAAAGGGTAAAATGTAATACTTCCCTAAATGATTAGTCACAGTATATTAAGACAATTGTTTGGATTACAAATTTTCTGAAACATTATGATGCATTATCTAATTAAATGTGCACTAAGTTGCATATATTTCCAGAAAATAAATCTGAACATTGGATAAAGCCAGGTTAAAGATTATTGTTGAATTTTGTTGACATATTAGAGTTAAAGGTTTTTGTAGAGGGGATTCTGGATTTCTCTTTTTATTACTCCATAAATCAGAAAATACTGTCAACAGAAAGAGAAAAAAATACACATTTTTGCCATGTTTTTAGGAATATGTCATATAAATCAGCCTGAGAAATATATGAACAAACCCCTCAGTAAAAACCTTCAGAATATAGAGAGGAGTAAAACTGCTAAGTTTGGTGTTTGTAAGTGTTGCTGAAGTGGAGAAAAAAGTTTTTGAGAAAATCGCCTTCAAAGATATGTGTTGTAATTGAAATCTATGCAAATGGATAAAGTGCAGTAATAAACTCAAGTGAATGATATATGAACAAACCCCTCAGTAAAAACCTTCAGAATATAGAGAGGAATAAAACTGCTAAGTTTGGTGTATGTAAGCGCTGCTGAAATGGATAACAAAACTCACAGTGCTTTAAAAAGGTATTATCTCCATGTTTTTAGGTATAATATGTCATATAAATCAGCCTGAAAAATATATGAACAAACCCCTCAGTAAAAACCTTCAGAATATAGAGAGGAATAAAACAGTAAGTTTTGGTGTTTGTAAGTGCTGCTGAAGTGGAGAAAAAACTTTTAAAGATATGTATTGTAATTGAAATCTACAGACACCAATTGATAAAGTGCACTAAAATAAACACGTAAAAATATATTATTTCTTTCCACTAGTCTTAAAGATGTTATAGAAGCAAATTCTTAAAATTGACCAATGCATTAAAAATATTGTGTTTTGCCTTAAGGAATTAATTTAATAGCAGATTTCTGTTATTTTTGATACATTTTTGTTAATACTTAACTTCATTTATTTTCTTCTTAAATTCTAAACTTAACTTACTCCATTACTTTTGTTAGCACCTTTTTAGTAAAGTATTGTGGTTAAATGAAGGGGTTGTCTGCAAATAATCAATGTCAGTGAAGGATGCAGGGTAAATTAAATGAGCACTTCTTTTAGTGTTTACTCAAAATTAAAAAAAACAGAAAATGTGCTTCATCTGTTGACAAGAATGTCACGTTTGAAATCTCGAAACAGTCAAATACTAGCTGTTAAATGTAGCCTCCACTAAAGCCTGATCTAATTTCTTCATACCTGGACGAGCAGCAGAGGACTGTGGGCCGGGGGAGTTTGTGTCCGTCTGCGTGGCGATGGTGGAGGTAGAGTGACGAGAAGATGGAGATGGAGATGATGACGAAGAGGAGGAGTGAAGATTCTGCTCACGGCTCTTTTCTCGGATCACCTGCTCGTAGGATGGAGGCGGGAGCTGGAGAGGAGCAGCACAATCAATCAATCAATCAAACACATGAAGGGTTCCACACATGTACAACTTCCTTAAGCTCCACCCACCTGCACTGTTGCCGAGCCTGCAGCCCATGTGGGCGGGGCTGGGGGCGGGGCTGGAGGAAATGCCCCAGAGGCCCCTGGGAACCATGTATTGGATGGCAGCGGCTCAGCAGAGAGGATGGTGATTTCTGGACGCCTGCAAATATATGAACAAACCCCTCAGTAAAAACCTTCAGAATATAGAGAGGAGTAAAACTGCTAAGTTTGGTGTTTGTAAGTGTTGCTGAAGTGGAGAAAAAAGTTTTTGAGAAAATCGCCTTCAAAGATATGTGTTGTAATTGAAATCTATGCAAATGGATAAAGTGCAGTAATAAACTCAAGTGAATGATATATGAACAAACCCCTCAGTAAAAACCTTCAGAATATAGAGAGGAATAAAACTGCTAAGTTTGGTGTATGTAAGCGCTGCTGAAATGGATAACAAAACTCACAGTGCTTTAAAAAGGTATTATCTCCATGTTTTTAGGTATAATATGTCATATAAATCAGCCTGAAAAATATATGAACAAACCCCTCAGTAAAAACCTTCAGAATATAGAGAGGAATAAAACAGTAAGTTTTGGTGTTTGTAAGTGCTGCTGAAGTGGAGAAAAAACTTTTAAAGATATGTATTGTAATTGAAATCTACAGACACCAATTGATAAAGTGCACTAAAATAAACACGTAAAAATATATTATTTCTTTCCACTAGTCTTAAAGATGTTATAGAAGCAAATTCTTAAAATTGACCAATGCATTAAAAATATTGTGTTTTGCCTTAAGGAATTAATTTAATAGCAGATTTCTGTTATTTTTGATACATTTTTGTTAATACTTAACTTCATTTATTTTCTTCTTAAATTCTAAACTTAACTTACTCCATTTACTATGATTCATTACTTTTGTTAGCACCTTTTTAGTAAAGTATTGTGGTTAAATGAAGGGGTTGTCTGCAAATAATCAATGTCAGTGAAGGATGCAGGGTAAATTAAATGAGCACTTCTTTTAGTGTTTACTCAAAATTAAAAAAAACAGAAAATGTGCTTCATCTGTTGACAAGAATGTCACGTTTGAAATCTCGAAACAGTCAAATACTAGCTGTTAAATGTAGCCTCCACTAAAGCCTGATCTAATTTCTTCATACCTGGACGAGCAGCAGAGGACTGTGGGCCGGGGGAGTTTGTGTCCGTCTGCGTGGCGATGGTGGAGGTAGAGTGACGAGAAGATGGAGATGGAGATGATGACGAAGAGGAGGAGTGAAGATTCTGCTCACGGCTCTTTTCTCGGATCACCTGCTCGTAGGATGGAGGCGGGAGCTGGAGAGGAGCAGCACAATCAATCAATCAATCAAACACATGAAGGGTTCCACACATGTACAACTTCCTTAAGCTCCACCCACCTGCACTGTTGCCGAGCCTGCAGCCCATGTGGGCGGGGCTGGGGGCGGGGCTGGAGGAAATGCCCCAGAGGCCCCTGGGAACCATGTATTGGATGGCAGCGGCTCAGCAGAGAGGATGGTGATTTCTGGACGCCTGCTGCACAACAATCAAAGTTTATAACGTGACCTTCCTCAATCTGATTTCCCAGTTTAACAAAAAAAAAAACAAGTTAATAGCTCTCTCAGAGCTAGACTTGTGAGCTAAACTACACATCCCATCCACAAATAAACATGCTGTACGAGTCTTAGTATCAGTAGTACTAAATATATATGTAATAATAGATACTATAAAAAATTTTTTTACTGTTTTTACTAATTAGTATAGTATTTTAAGTTGAAGTTTTAGTAATTATGTTGTTTTTATAATATGTATAAGGTTTTTTTTAAATATCTATAGATTTTTTTATCAATTTATATTTTAGTTTTACTTATTTAAGTGACCAATTAAACATCTAGTTAAACTAAATAAAGATGAGAAATGTTGCCTTGGCAACTTGCTGAAATAAAATTAGGTTAAGTTTTTTAGTAAGATTTTTTTAAAATGATGATTGATGATGATAGTTAACTAAAATAACCCCGGTTATAAGAAAATGATTAATTTGATTAATTGGTATCATACAATCATGGGTATTAATGTGACAATCAGAGGTTATTTAAATGTATTTTTAATTCTAAACATATATTCCAAAAAAATGCGAAATAACAAATTTGATAATTACAAATGACAGAACAGAATATCCTTTTAACAACACTGCACATATACTATAAAACAAACTAGACAAACACACTTTTTACAACATGAAACATCACTCTTACAAACACTATTTATTAAAATACAAACAAAATGAATAACCATTCGTTGATAAAAGTAACAGATTTATTATTATTTTGATTCATTTATTAGATTATAATTTTTTCATTAAATTATATGAGGGTCACATGACATATATGTGTCATACACACACACATATATGTCATGTGACCCTCATTTAAAAAAATCATAATCTAATATATACATACATATGTGACCCTGGACCACAAAAATCAGTCATAAGGGTCAATTTTTCGAAATTGAGTTTTATACATCATCTGAAAGCAAGTAGGAAATTTACAAAATATCTTCATGGAACATGATATTTACTTAATATCCTAATGATTTTTGGCATAAAAGAAAAAACAATAATTTTGACCCATACGATGTATTGTTGGCTATTGCTACAAATATACCCCAGCGACTTAACACTGCTTTTGTGCTGCAGGGTCACATATATATATTAGTGCTGTCAAATGATTCATCACAATTAATCGCATCCAAAATAAAAGTTTTTGTTTACATATTATATGTGTGTGTACTGTGTATATTTATTATGTATATACAGGTGCATCTCAATAAATGCAAAAGGAGCCCCTACCAAGTATTGAGTACATGTACAGTAAATGAACATACTTTCCAGAAGGCCAACAATTCACTAAAAATATTTTTTTTTATTGGTCTTATGAAGTATTCTAATTTGTTGAGATAGTGAATTGGTGGGTTTTTGTTAAATGTGAGCCAAAATCATCACAATTAAAAGAACCAAAGACTTAAACTACTTCAGTCTGTGTGCATTGAATTTATTTAATACACGAGTTTCACAATTTGAGTTGAATTACTGAAATAAATGAACTTTTCCACGACATTCTAATTTATTGAGATGCACCTGTATAAATACACAAACACATGCATGTATATGTTAAAGAAAAATATGTTGTTTATATATTAACTAGATTTATATATAATAGAAATTATATTAATATAAATATATACACGCAAATACATGTAAATATTTTCAAAATATATACTGTATGTGTATGTATTTATATATACATAATAAATTTACACAGTACACACACATATATTATGTAAACAAAAACTTTTATGTTGGATGCGATTAATCGTTTGACAGCACTAATATATATATATATATATATTTATTTTATTATTATTTTTTTATATATAGAGTTTCTTTAAATGAACAATGAAAATAGATCAGCTCAATGTCAATATTGTTGACAAGGAATTTGTTTACAAAGGAGATGACAGTATCAGCGAAGAGCTTGAGATCAGATACAAGATGTGATTTTGAAAGAAAAAGTCCAAATAAAGCAAAATATCACTTGATTTGAACACGGAGAGAAAGAAAACACCAAGTAAACAGGCATGAACTGACCTGCGGTCTCGCTGATGGTCACTCTGAGAGCTCGTTCTCGCTGATGCTGCGCAATTTCCGACAAAAAAAAACACAAACTCACATGCAAACATCTGACAGAACAGACAAAACACACCAAATCACCAAAAACATGCTACAGCAGGCAAACTCACTGCGTTTGATGACGGCTCTGATGGAGGAAAGCGGCCCTTGGCTGGAAAAGCGAGAGAAACACAAGGACTCAATGTCTTTTTCCATTGATTCAATAACTCAAGGACAGTTTTTCCGACTGTTTTCCAGTGACATGACTGGAAATACATTTCACAGTTACACAACACACACACCACACCCAAACCCCCACAGACACGGACTTTCATCAAACACACACACACTGACTCACTCACTCACTCACTCACTAACACACACATACTCATATACACACACACACACACTCACACTCCCTTACTCACTCACTCACACACACACACACACACCACACCCAAACCCCCACAGACACGGACTTTCATCAAACACACACACACTCATACACACACTCATACACACACTCATACACACACTCATACACACACTCATACACACACTCATACACACACTCATACACACACTCATACACACACTCATACACACACTCATACACACACTCATACACACACTCATACACACACTCATACACACACTCATACACACACTCATACACACACTCATACACACACTCATACACACACTCATACACACACTCATACACACACTCATACACACACTCATACACACACTCATACACACACTCATACACACACTCATACACACACTCATACACACACTCATACACACACTCATACACACACTCATACACACACTCATACACACACTCATACACACACACACACTCATACACACACACACTGACTCACTCACTCACTCACTAACACACATACACAAACACACACACACACACTCACTC